TTTAGCTAGAATTGTGCTCAAACACACACACACACATACCGCATTTACAGACAGAGGTACACTTGAAGAGGCCAAATTCATTACCGACTTGAAAATGTGGATTTATGACATTTAAATGCCTGTGGCTATTTTATTTTTACAAAAGTAGAAAAAAACAACACATTTTGTCTTTGAAATCACTTTCTGCATTTGTTTGGCTAATGATACACATATTTCAATGAATACAAAAATAGTTTAAACCTTTCTTAAAACGTCGTCGATGTGGCACAACAAGGCACCTCTTGAATGACAAGTGCAATCTAAAACATTGGGGTTTTGAAGCTTGAATTTATTTACCGCTGATGATTGAAAAAGAGCTTAGTTTAGGATATACGGTTGAACCTTACGATGTAGAGGATCGCACTTAGACTTGTGCTTACTTCTTCGCAAAGTCAGCAAAAGAATACCTGTAACACTGTAATTATAGACCTGTTAGTCGTTAAAGCTTCTGTAAGAGCCAGATCCGTTGAACGACTAAAAGTGTGAAGTTCAAAGTGTTTTAGCCTTGATCTCGCAAATGTGTGGTAATCAAGAAGAAATAGTTGAGAAGTTTCAAGCTCTAAACGACAAATGGATTGATTCGAAGGTTGCTATCAGACTAGGACGCATTAGGGTACCAGAGAGGGACATTCCCAAATCGTCTCACATTTCGAATGTATTCCTGATAGCTAGCAATACAGCGCCGCTGATATTACATCGCACAGTTACCTTTGAGGGATAAGCGGGTAGGAGGATTCCCTGGAGAAGAGGCGCAATGAGGACATAAATAAGTGGCTGGAACTAGGCGCTTTGCACATATTTGACACTTTTTTTGATCCCTAACTAGGAGTTCTGGGCATCACAACGGACAGACGAGTTTAGCTGTCCAAGTGGTATTATTCGATGCCTCACGAAAAATCAGCCTACTTAGCTAACATAGCCTGCCTCGTTTTCTTTAAAACAACTTCTACAATTGTCATCCGGTAAGATTTTTAAGTTAAGGTTATGGAGGAAGGTACATATATGTATCAAGTGAGAAAGAATCGGTTTCAAATGAAATTTCGCGTTGCGTTAACTAGGGGATGTTTACAAATCCTTCAACTTTATTACGAAAATTAACGTTTTGTAAAGAATGTGTTAACATAACAACATAATCGGCCACCATCACTCATCTTGATACCCATCATTCTTTAATAATTAAAATTCGTCCGAATAGACCACGTCCACGGCAGCAACTCGGCCTTACGTGTGGAACGACTTGGTGCATTTTTCGAGATCTTAAATGGAAAGCATACAAAATACAGCTTGTGCAAGTGGCTCATTCTTGCCAAGTGATATCGCTTCAATTTATGGGCCCTTGAAAAGTTTCAAGAAGATCAGACGTTTTCGAGTAAAAATTTGTTTAGCGATCTGGCTCAATGGGTATGTAAGGAAACAAATTGCCGCATTTGGCACGAAGAGCAACCTGAATTGATTCAAGAGCTACTATTTTATCCAGAAGGACCAACGGTTTGGTGTGGTTTGTGGGCCGTAACCGTCAATGGTTACCGACTATTTGATGCCTGAAATTGAACCTCGCGATCTCAGCGACATCAATGGATTTATTGAGGGAACATTTCGGTGAGCAGATAATTTAACGTTTTGGGCCAGTCGATTGGTCACCAAGATAGTGTGATATAACACTTTTAGACTTTTTCCTGTGGAGATATGTAAATTCTAGAGTCTATGCGGACAAGCCCGTTCCGATTCAGGCCTTGGAGCAAAACATCCATTTCTAAGAGATAATCTTAAAAAAAATAAATACCAAAACATTTTTTTTTTGAATGACAATAAACATTCCGCATTCAATTTGAAGTTTTTTTTTTTTTTTT